GGGTCATAAGGGAAACGAGTGCTGGACCCCGGGGCCATCCCCCAGGGCCAGCTCGTCATCCTCAGTCGTTCTCTGCCAGTCCCGGGGCCCGTGGAAAGCCCCGAGAGCCCTCAGGACTGGTTTCACTCGGTCGGTCTTGGGGGGGGGGATTACAACTAGAGTTTGCGCCGAACGCAAAAAGCGGGGGACGAGGGAGAACGACGAGCGGGCGACACGAAGAGGAGCCACAGGAAGAGAAGAGAGAAAGGAGGGGAGGAGGAGCCAGGAGGGGCAGCACAGCACGACGAGGAAAGTAGGGGGGGAGAGGCGACGAAAGGGCACCCCCGAAGCCCAGAAGGCCCCCACAGCGCCCCAAGAGCAAGATCCTTCTCCTTCGGGGCGGCGCTGGCCCTACCCGCCGCCCCGCGCGTCCCCGCGCGGGGCGTCGGCCCCGCGCGGGGCGCCGGCCCCGCGCGGGGCGCCGGCTGCCCGAGCGGCGCCTCTCTCGGGGGCGTAGGGGCGGCGGCGGGCAGGGGCCGATGCGCGGGGGGGGGCAGCAATTCCAGAGACGCTCGCGCCGTAACTAAACAACACCTTAAAAACATCGACATATATATATATATATATATATATATATACTAGAACCATCGCGCGCGCTTCGCGTGCGCTCAGGTTCTAGCAGGCCCCAGGCCTTGACGAATTCACTGCTCCACTGAAGTAGTGGACCACAGTCCACGCATGCCAATCTGCATTCCGAAAGGCCTTCGAGAAAAATGGTTGTGCAGGGGGGCGGAGGCCGTATGAATCGGGCTGCCAGAAGGCCTTCTGGGAGCATGAGTTTGGGGCGTCTTGGGGAGCCTGTTGGTGCGTGCCGTCGTCGTCGTCGTCGTCGTCGTCGTCGTCGTCGTCGTCGTCGTCGTCGTCGTCGTCGTCGTCGTCGTCGTCGTCGTCGTCGTCGTCGTCGTCGTCGTCGTCGTCGTCGTAATGTCGTCGTCGCCTATTTGGGCCCGCCGTCGTCGTCGTCGTTGTCGTCTTCGTCGTTTCGTCGTCGTCGTCGTCGTCGTCGATTCAAGAGGGCACTTGGGGCAACTTTGCGCGAAACGATCTGCGGAGGGCCGCGAGAAGACGATCAGTCATGCTCCCAATCAACTTTCCAAACAGCTCTCCTGTAGCATGATGGTACTTCGAAACCTCCGGAGACTCGCGGGCCCATGATGAACCATGTCCCCGGAAGGCGTTCTGGGGACATGGTTTGTTGGGGTGTGTTGGGGGGTCTCTTGGGCGTTCCCTGGGGGCCCCTGGGGGGCCTCCGGGAACTCTCGGGCCCATGATGAACCATGTCCCCGGAAGGTTTTCTGGGGACATGATTTCTTGGGGAGTGTTGGGGGGCCTCTTGGGCGTTCCCTGGGAGCCCCTTGGGGGTCTCTTGGGCTTCCTGGGGGCTTTTTGGGCGCCTCACGGGGCTTCGTGGGCGCCTCTTGGTGGCCTCCAGGGGCCTACTGGCGGCCTCGAGGGCCAGAGACCTCGAAATATCGGCTGGCGGTCCCCCAGGGGTGCCAGCGGGTCCCACGGAGTCTGAGTAGTGGTCGTAGTGGTCCCACCTGTGGACGGGGGGACCAGGAGGGGGGTGGCCAGCCCAGGTCCTGGCCCTGGCCCTGGCCCTGGCCCTGGCCCCGACCCCGGCCCCAGCGTTGGCCGTGGCCCCTGGGTCCTGGGAGGGGACCCCAAAGTCCTGGGGGAGGTCCCGCCTTCAGGGTCGGCGGCACCGGCCGTAAGGCCTTCACAATCGCCATTTTTGGAAGGCTGGTGTAGGGCGCCGTGAGGCCCCTCAAGAGCGATGCCAAGACGCTGTCATAAACTATGTTCGAAACTATGACATCGTATCTTCGTCGTCGTGAGCATATCCCTTGCGAAATCGTCATTATCGGGAGTCCTCTAGGCGCTCTTGAACCCAGCCTGGGGTCCTTTTGGGCTCATTGTTTCTTCGTCCTCGAACGTTTCAGAAACGATACAACCGAACGAAATTCAAAATATACATCAACGTTGGTATGCCGTGCTGGTGTTCAGTTTAAACATGAGCGAGAGTTTTAACATGAGTGGTATGACGTGCTGGGGATGTCTCGAGCGCGAGCGTCGCTTTAACATGAGAGGGAGTTAATCAGATCTGTCGACACCATCGGTGTGAGGGGGACCAACGGTCATTCATTGTCTCTAGGCGCGTGGCTGAAGCTGGGTTCCGCGGTGAAGAACTGTTGCGTTGCTGCGTTGTTGTTGTTGTTGCCTTGAGGTCGCCGCCCTCGCCCGCGACCCGCCCGCGACCCACCCCGCGACCCGCCCCGCGACGCACCCCGAGACTTATCCGCCACCCACCCGCGACCCACCCACATTGCCTTAACGAAAATTCGGCGCCTGCGGCGGGCTCGTTGCGCAATGTGAAAGCAAATCAGCGCCTGCGGCGGGCTTCTTCAGAGCCTCGAAGAAGGTTGTCGACGACCCCGCCGCCCCCTCACTCTTATCCGCGACTGCGGGGTGCGAATTACGTATGGTTTCGAGGATGTCTCATGCGAAACGCCCATTTCTATAATCAACAAAGTGAACGTACCCAACCTTGGAGGATGTCTCGAGCGAAACGCTTATGTGTGTACGTAAAAGACAATGTTGCGAACAGCTCATTTTGAGGAGGATGTCTCAGGCGAAATGCTTGGAAAAAACATGCGTCGCGACTTTACCACGTGAAAGCCAAAACGGTATGTATGTTAACATATGGTTCAGCTCTGTTATAGCTTTTCATTCCACAAAGACGCTTCCCGTCACTAGATCTGCCATATCTATATATATATATATATATATATATATATATGTGTGTGTGCAAGTATGAAAGGTCAACGCCGGAGGCGCTTCCCATCATTCTGATGGGCCGAACCCACAATCTTCCTTGAATTCACGGGCGCGGCTGGCTGAAGCAAGGAAGACAGTCCAAGCTCCAACGCAATGAGCTACAACGTCCTGGCCGCTACTGTCACTTCTTTCCTCCCTCTTCCACCTGCTGCCCCCACGCCGATCCAGCCAAGGCCTGCAAGGCCTGCACTTGCAACGAAACCTACTTCCTTCTTCGCCCATGCCAAACCTCACACCTCCATCCGAAGTACTGTCTCATTCTACCTCCCTGACCTCTTCCTGCCCCCTGCATCCCTCCTCCCTCTGCCCTCCTCTCTTCGTCTCCCCTCCCCTGGCCGATCCCCTCCCCGACCCATCTCCCCCTCAGAACCCTCTAAAACCTCAACAAAGAACCCCTACAACCATTTTAAAATCTCCACCAAGAATCCCCTAATAAAAACACTTACACCGTCTAAAGTATCCACCAAGAACCCTCTACAACCATCTGAAACCCCACATTTCTCCCTCCTCCCGACTTCCACTGCTCCCCGCCCGCCCGCGCTACCTCCTGCACAAGCAGTGGCATGTAGCCCTGGTGGCACCGACACTGGCGGTGGCAGCCGACGGGGCCATGTGGGCCTGCGCTTGGCCGTGTGGTGGCGTGATGTAAGGGGGGATGACAAGATCGGCGACTCCGAAAAGTGTAGTTTGCAAAGGTTGTAGGCTGCAACCCGCGACCCAGTACCTGGGGGGGGGGGGCCGGCAAGGACCTCGACAGAGTTCTCCGCCGCACCACGACGAGGGTTCATCAAGCCTTTGGCGCAACGCAATGCCCCCCAAGCCCCAACGGCGTAGATCGCAAACCACACTACGGCGTAACCACACCCGTCGCAGTCGCCGACAGGAGGAGGGAGGACCCAGGGGGGACCCTCTCTCTCTCACACACACACTTTTTGTTGCGTCGGCGGCTGGGCAGAGGTTGACTGCTCCGGCGGAATGACACACACACACACACATACCTCCGATGCCCTCGCGCTCGCGAGGTCTCTCCCATACCACGACCGTCGCAGGGGAACTTAATCACTCGACGCGGGCGGCGTCGAGGCTGAACGAGAAAGACGAACAGAAGGAGAATATGTCGCTCCCCCCACCCCACGACCAAAACAAGTGCCTGAGCCGTGGGACCACTACCTACTTCTGGCAAAGAGCTGGATCTGCGCTGTTGGGTCTGGCCGTGTGGTTGACGACTGGGCGCCGCTCAGCCCAGGAGGTCCTGCGCACGGCGGCTCGTGGCCACCCACAGCGACTCGCCCATCGGGTCCCGCCCGTGGGGCCCCGCGCGCGGTGGGCTGGCCGATGGCCGCCTGCAAGTGAGGTCCCGCCCGTCCACAAGGGGGTCCCGCCTGTGGGGATGGCGCCGGTGGTCGCCCACAATGGTCCCGCACATGGGCCCCGCGCTCAGAGCTGGTCGCAGCACACTTGTCCCCACACACTCCCACCCAAAGGGTCCCTCTCGCTCGCAGGGCTGGCCCAAGGGGCTTCGCCCACATGGTCTTGCCTCTGTCTGAGATCACCTTTGGAAACTTGCAGGCGGCCAAGACGGCAGGTTCCCAGGACGGCCCCAAAATGGATTCGTCTCGTTTCTGTTCATCCCTGGACCCCAGAGCTCTTGACCTCTTCCCCCATGGCCAAACTCTGCATCCCAAATCGCTTTCCGATGGCCCACAGGTCCCGAAATCAGCCCCCTGGAGCCGAAACTGAAGAGAAGCGCCAGGAATGAACAAGTCCAACTGCTGGAGAAGGGAAGAACGCTGCCACATGATCTCTACACATGGCGGCTACCACCACAGTAAAAATCATAAGTTCGACAAAGAAACGGGAGACGCCACACGAGCCAGCCTGCAATAGGTAACCTCGTGTGGTGAACCGTGGCATGAGGAAGAGAAGCAGCCACCTGCCGGAGGACCCGGTCGGCTGACCGCCAGCCGTCCAGGGCTGGGGGTCAGCAGTGCCAGCCCCGGACCTGTCCTGAGGGGCGTGCCAGCCAGGCGTCCGAGGGCACCCAGCCGCGGCCGCAAGAACGGAGCCCCAGGAAGCACAAGCAGTGCTGATCACCAGCACAAGCACCCCACGCCTCTCTGCTCCGCCCCTCGGCGGGTGGCGCACCAAACCCGCCTCCGCCACAGCCAAGGGGAGAGCTGCCAAAACTCCCTCACTGGCTTGGGCGGGGGGGGCGCACGCAAGGCTGAGCAGTGCAACAGGAGAAGGAGGAGGAGGAGGAGGAGAAGAAGAAGAAGAAGAAGAAGGAGCGCTGGCTGCCGCTCATGAGCACCAGTCCCTGGTCGCGGCCGCAGCCAACAAGACCGTTCAAAAGCCTCCATCCTGGAGCAGTCCCCTCTGCTGACCCCTGGCCCTCGGCCCAGTCTCGGAGCTGTGCGGAGGTCCCCGCGCTGGACCCATCGACCCTCGATGATCCCTGCCAAGACGACGGCGAAAGAAGACAGGAGGGGGACGAGGCGGGGACATCGGGAACCTGCGTGAGACCGCGAGCCTGGAAGATGCACCGCGGGGCCGCGGCTCCAAGAGGGCCCCCCCTGCTCTGCGAGGGGCTCCCGCCGCTCTTCCTCGGAAGGCCGCCCCCCCTCGATGCGCCCCCTTCTGGTGCGCGGCTCCTTAGGGGGGACGCGGAGGTACCGATGCCGCTGCTCCGCGGACCTCTCCGGGGGCGCAGCCCGCCGTGGCCACGAGGGACGGGCTGCCCGACGAGACCCGACGAGCCCCCCCGACGAGCCCCCGACGAGCCCCCCGACGAGCCCCCGACGAGCCCCCCGGCCCGGCCCTCTGGCCCTCGGCCGCTGGACCGTGCCGGCCGGCACTCGCCCCCGACCCGGCCTGGCAGGGGGCCGACCGTCGGAGCACTTCGGCGGGCCGCGCGGCGGCGCCATCCTCTGCCGGCAGCGGCGGGGGGGGGGGGGGGGCAGCCGCCCTCCCCTGCCCTCCCTGAGGGGGGCCAACTGGGAGGTTTCGCCACCTCCTCCTCTCCTCCTCCTCCTCCTCTCCTCCTCCTCCTCCTCCTCCTCCTCCTCCTCCTCCCTCCTCCTCCTCCTCCTCCTCCTCCTCCTCCTCCTCCTCCTCCTCCTCCTCGGGCTTCAACAAGAACAAGAGTTCAACAAGTGCGAACAGGAGATCACGGCTCTCCAGGCTCAGCTTACTGTCACGAGGAATGCAGCAGCAGCAGAGATTTCAGTACAGCAAGGAGTTGTTTCCTTTGTCCAGTCTCACCTCCCCACTCTCCCTGGGTATCAGCCTACACAGGTCCTTCAGGATGCTATGGGGGTTATGGTACAAGGGCTGGAGGAGGCCAGGCAGTTGCAGCAGAACGCAGCAACAGCCGCAGCAGCCCCAGCAGCACGGCCAGGAGGAGGAGCAGGCGGAGGAGGAGCCCCAGGAGGAGGAGCGGCAGAGACGGCAGCAGGGGCGGACGGAGCACAGCGGAGAGCGCCTCCCGCCGCGCCCGCCGCGCCCGCCGCCCCCGCGGCGCCCCGCGCCGGCGTACCTCCGCCCGCCGAGCCTCCACCCGAGGGGGCAAACGCGGCAGGGAGGGCGGAGGGGCAGGGAGCGCCAGAGGAAGGCCGAGGAACAGCAGGAGGACAGCAGCCGCAGCAGCAGCAGAAGCCTCAGCCTCCCCTCCAACCTCAGCAGCCTCCGCCCCAGCAGTCAGCAGCAGCGGCAGCCCCAGCAGTGGCAGCAGTCAACGGCGGTAACGGTGACGGACTTAATGACCCTATTCCAGATTCCCCAGCTGAGATGGCTGAGCTCATGGATCAGGCCGATGCCACTAAGAAGCGGAGCCTGGCAGCTCACCTTGAAAAGCTGGTCCAAAGCATGGAGGGCAAGTCCGATGCTGACGAGGCCATCCTCAAGAGACTTCGAGTGCATCGTGATGCACTTCAGTCGGCTGGCCCGCCAGGTGGGTAATACCAGCCTCAAGGTTGTGACCATAAACGGCAGCTGCTGGAGGGCAGTAAAAGATTTTGTCACCTCTCCTTTTGCAGGACCCGTCGGCATCGTGCTAGCGCAAGAAGTACGCCTCTGGCAACCAGAGGCAATAACATCGGCTACTACATGGGCCAGCTCTCAGGGCTGGCATGCTATCGTCACGCCAGCTCGCTTGACAGACCAAGAGCGCCCCTCGGGGGGCACCGTGATCTTGATTCGAGCAGGTCTTGACTTAGGTGTTCGTTCTATCACACTACCTCATCTTGAAAGTCCCCATCGCCCGACAGCAGTTGCTGTGGAGGCACCTGGATTAGGCCAGCTGGCAGTTGTTTCGATCTATCTCTATGACTCGGAGGGGATGTCTCAGAGAAATACCCAGTTGCTAGCAGCAGCGGGAGAGATCCAGCAGCAGTGCCAGATGCCGATGATGATGATGGGAGGTGGCTTTAACCTTACTCCGACCACCTTGTTGCAGTCAGACTTTGTGGTGAGAGCGACAGTTCGGATTCATAGTACTGCTAAGCCCACGCATGTTGCCAAGACGAGCAGGTCGATCTTGGATTATTTTCTCGTGGCAGAAGCCTTGGATGACAGAGTGGTAGAGACCAGCATCCTCGAATACACCCTGACCCCGCACAGAGTAGTGCAGTTGGAACTGAAAAGTGGGCAGTATGTTATTCCAGTATTGCAGCAGCCTCAGCAGCTCCCCCGCAGCTTCCCCTTCGGCCCTCTCCTGCAGCAGCTTCCTTGGACGGCAGCGACGGCGGCGATGAGGAAGGCGGAGGAGATTTTTTGTTTTCACAGAGGAAGGCGAGGTGGTCAAGCACAGCAGGGCAACCAAGCAAGCAGCCCTGGATGCAGGGTACCAGGCCCTGGTCCAGGACATGGAGCAGGCAATTGCTAGGAGCACGGATACGCAACTTCGTCAACCGTCTCTTCGCGGCAAACCTCCTACGGTGAAATGGGTCCCCGCCACGGCCTTCCAGAAGAAGCACCAGAAGTCTTGGGTGTGGGGCTCCCTGGCGAAACCTCTGATCTGGCTCAGGGGCAAAGCGCGGGAAACTAGGGCCTTCTTCGCGGGCAAGTGCAACGAGATTCGGAACCAAGATCCGTATCACCAGGTCACGCCGCAACGAACATGTCACGAATTTCGGTGTCAAGAAAGTGTGACCAGCATTTCCAGATATGACGTCAACTGGGCCTTAGAAGAGGTTCAGTCCCCGCCCCAGCAGTTCAGCAACTCTGGGTCACTCCAGCAGGCCCTGGATACGTTTAGGAACCTCCTGCTGGCCATCGGTCTGGACAGCCAGGCCGGGTGCCTCAACGCCGAGTTGGTCGATCGCATGTTCGTTGATTTGTTAGATGAGCTGGAGAGTAGCATCAGCCAGGAGGAGAGGCAGAGCGCCAGCGACAGCAACAAGCAGTGGAGGGACTGGGTGGCCGAGGCCATGCAAGGAGGAGCGGGTAAAGCACACACCTACTCTCGCAGTTCCCCCCCCCCCCCCTGGCAGCCGCAGGCAGTTAGGCATGGAGGCAGGTGGTCAGGCAGGCCCAGTCACCTGCTGCAGGCTGAGGCAGGTAGGTTGCAGGAGCTGCGGCAGTCCTTATCTCACGAAGGCCCACTGTTTCAGGGAGCCCCAGATGAAGAGCCGCCGTCACCACTACAGCCTCAGCAGATCCTTGCAGCTGCCAAAACCTTCCCCAAGACCACAGGGATGACTTGGGACGGTTTTCACCCAGTGCACTTCAAAATGATTGGCCAAGTTGGGCTGGAGCTAATGGCTACCCTGTTGAAACTCGTGGAGGCCCTGGGGACCTTTCCCACTCCGCTGCGCGCTGTTCTGACGGTGATCATTCCGAAGCACAAGAAGACAGGCAGCCAGCCCCAGTACAGAGGTATAGGCATGCTCCCCAGCCCTTACAGGTTATGGGCACGCGCTAGGCAGCACGTGGCCAAGTCTTGGGAACAGAACCACAAGAGAGGGTTTTTGTGCCACCAATCGGGCAGGTCCATGTGTGAACTAGTCTATGTGCAGGCCTTAAGTGCAGAAAGAGGACAGTCCGTCAACCCCGTTATGCACGCGGGCACGATCATGTTGGATTTAAGCACCTTTTACGAGCATGTGGACAGAGAGGACCTGTACCAGAAAGCGCTCCACAACAAGTTCAGCACCCACATTCTATCGGTCATTCTTAATCAGCATAAGTCTAGAAGGTTAGTGTCGTTCTCAGTCTATGGTCACCGACGTGGGCTACACCACCAGGGGCATCCCAGCAGGCGACAGCTTCGCCACTTACCTCGTTCAAATTTATTGAACCAACGAACTAGACGCCTGGCAGTCTCAGCACAGTATGGTGCAGCTGAGCGTCTTCATCGATGATTTCCTCCAGCAAGTTCAAAGCAGTTCTATGCTGACGGTGCTGACAAACCTGACAGATGCAGCCCATGACATGCGACAGGTGATCGAGTTAGACCTACAGTGCTCTGTGGCCGATCACAAATCAGTAGTCCTTGCTTTTTCCGGGAAGTTGCAGTTGCAGATAGTCAAGGCCCTGGGAACCAAAGGCGGACAGGCACTAGACTCGGCAGCCAACTTAGGCATCGACTACAGCGCTGGGCGCAGCATAATGTACAAGAAGTACAGGCCTACAGCAATAGGACGGCACGCACAGCTGCGCAAGCGCCTCTTCAAACTCAACAGCCTTCGAGAAGGAGGGGCTAACATCAGTAAGCTGTACTCAGATGGGTTGCAGCAGGCAGGATACTACGGGGCGGAGGTAGCAGGAGCGGATGACGGAGAAGTGAGGGCTATTCAAACCACGTTTCTAAAAGCATGCGGCCCAAGATGCACCACCAGGTCTCGCTCCCTCAGCCTCCTTCTCCTCAACGACCCCACCTGGAAGGTAGCATGTGGCCCATGCCTGACGTGGGCAAAAATTGTTTGGAGGGCAGCAACAACCAATGCAGGAGGCTGGACATTGCCTCAGCTGCGCGATTTGGTGGAGCCAATTTTAAAAGCACCCCCTAAGAGATGGACGGAGTCCCGGGGCCCTTTCGGAGCTTGTCTGTTGTCTCTCGGAAGAATTGGGTGGAAAGCGGCAAGCCCTTTTAAGCACCAAGATAAGGACGGCAGGACCTATATCCTCACCTCCGTGTCGCCCGCGCTCCACTCCGCAGCGCTACAGAGAGCCTGGAGGGACAGGCTGGTGGAGCAAGCGAGCCAGCGACTGGGATGGGTGGAGGATCAGGTCTGCGTCTCCGCTGCCCTTTCCATCCTCCACTCCCCCTCTCGCCCTCCGCGCGAGCGCTCCATCCTCCTCGCCTTCCTTTCCCAAATCATATGGACCAAGTATGGTCTCAGCGAGGCAGGCTACGAAGTAGATACGAAATGCCCATGCGGGCACCAGCATGATAGTATGCACCATCGGTTGTTTGAATGTGCGTGCTTTCAGCTGCGGACCGCAGCGAAGACTTAAGCTTTGAAGATATAGAGACTCTCAAGACTGCCGATTGGGCTCACTTGCAGGCCGGCCTAGGAGTTAAGGATACCTTCGACAACCAGGCTCCGCCAGGGCTTGGTCTGGAGGAAGCGACGCTGTGGGCGGTTGACCCTCATGCCACCCCAGCCCAAGCCCTGCAAGGTGAGCTGTACCTTGACGGCTCCTGTTTTTAAGACGGTCCCTAAAGTCACCATCGAGCTGGATGGGCCGCCGTAGCTCTCGACCCCATCTCGGGCGAAGCCCAAGCGGCCCTCGCGGGGCCAGTGGGACGCGAGCTTCCGCAAACGTCGCCTGCCGCCGAATATCTTGCGGCGCTCGCGGCTGTTAGATACGGCAGCAACATCACGTCTCTTGTTGCTGACTGCTCGGGCACGTGCAAGCTGCGCGACCCAACATTGTCCCATAGGAATTTCTACGCAGGGATTAAGCTGTTAATTAAAGGTAGT